GTCATTGTATGTCGCATACGACTTATTTACCACTCCCGTGTCACTGAGAATGTTCTAGAACCATACTGTGTCTGGGTGGAATATTCTAGATTTTGTTTGGAAACTGGTTGAATAGGTAATAGAACACTGTAGGAGGCAATAGAAGGTAATGGAACATTCTAGAAATTTATAGTAAATTCCAGACTCATTATGTATGCTGATGTAATGGTCTATTTATAGACAGTGTGGGTATATATAGGGGAGTTGTTCAGCACTGAGTTCAGATCGGGGCTAATCTGCACTGGCTCGGAAGGTTGTAAATGATTAGCTAGTTTGAATTTCTAATTTGCATAACATTACTGAGAATGAACGTGCATTCAACGCCACAAGTTTTTTTGTTTTTTTAGCCAATCAGAATTCATCTTCCGAGCCAGTGCAGATCAGCAGTCAGATCGGAGATCTCGTTGAATTGTATTGGAGTTTAAGTATCTAGTTATTGGAGTAGTGGAGTTTTATCACGTTATTGTACTTGATGTTTGCAGAGTATAATAATACCAGTACCAGTTGAAAACTCATCTGTTGGCTCCGTGTTCGTGTTTTATCATCGCTGCCAGGGAAGTCTTTCTGTTACTGTTGCCATTTTGGTATTTGAACCATCACACCTGTACTATACCAATTACGGTAATATTACGTTGCGTGTGACATTGTATTAGGAATACAGTTGTACAAGGAAGTTTATCCAAACAGACACAACACTGACTCTTCAACATATTTGCAAATCTGATTTGCATACTTACATGTCATTTTACCTGTTGTACTTGTTTGTTGCTATCTGGTTTTCTTGCTGAGACCAGGATGGAGAGTGCTATGAACTTGAAATTGCCAATTTATGTCTATGTCAAAAACTGATTAAATTATATGTTGCAACTTTCAAATGAAATCAAGCAAAGGCAGTGTCATTCATGACTTCTTTGATTGAATAAATTTTTACTGCTTGGAGGCCATTTTTTTCCTCAAAAATCTATAAAAAAAACAAGCTTTTTATAGCTGTTACCAGCTTTTTCTCAGATATGTGTCAACCAGTTTTGTTCAAAGGTGGTACAGGGACAGGTAATAATTGTTTACAAGTGCACATCACATTATATGTTTATCAAGTTATTCATTTGGCTTTTTTGAGACAATATATATTTTTTTACCCCATCTCCCCCTAAAATTGTTCCTCATCTGAACAATTAATAACTGAATTTTAGTATAGCTCACAATGAATGAATTCACTCTGACACAAATGCAGTTCAATATCAGTTTTAAATTGGTTTCTGAGCGGGGGCTATGACATGACATGTCATGTCATGTCTTGTTTTCTAATGATATCTTCTGTTCTTTAATTGAAATGTGCATTGCTAACAGCCGAGCTATCTCAGCCGACAGGCTGCTTGTTTGGCTTTTGCTATGTTGGTGGGCCAGAAGTATTTTTCAGATTTTACCTATGAACTAGAGTCAAGGATTGACTTGCCTGCCAAGTTTAAGCGAAATCAACTCAGCCAAAAAAATCACAGAAGAATTAATAGTGAAGACACTGGAAATCATACAATTTTAGTTGCAATCCTAGTGGAGTGAATCGCCAATATGAATTGTACTTGCATGCTGGCATTCAGTTTTACACTGCTCTCTGTCTCCTATTGATAGGTTGATTTTAACATGCAAGAAGCCCAAAAGCGTGATGCAGTCAGACAAAGCAACTTTTATTTCAGAAAAGACCTCCGATCTTGTAAGTAAATGTAATCCTGTATTTTTTACTCAATCTTATCAGCAAGGGACAAGGATCTCATCCTACATGTCTCAATCTTATCAGCAAAAGAAAAGGATCTCGTCCTTTATGTGTCAATCTTATCAGCAAGGGACAAGGGTCTCATCCTTCATGTCTCAATCTCAACAGCAAGGGACAAGGATCCCATCCTTTATGTCTCAGTTTTATCATCAATGGACAAGGATCTCATCCTACATGTCTCAATCTTATCAGCAAGGGACAAGGATCCCATCCTTTATGCTCAATTTTATCATCAAGGGACAAGGATCTCATCCTACATGTCTCAATCTCATCATCAGCAAGGGACAAGGATCTCATCCTTCATGTCTCAATCTTATCTGCAAGGGTCAAAGATCTCATCCTTCATGTCTCAATATTATCAGCAAGGAACAAGGATCTCATCCTTCATGTCTCAATATTATCAGAAATGGACAAGGGTCTCATCCTTTATGTCTCAATCTTATCTGCAGGGGACAAGGATCTCATCCTTCATGTCTCAATCTTATCAGAAAGGGACAAGGATCTCATCCTTCATGTCTCAATATTATCAGCAATGGACAAGGGTCTCATCCTTCATGTCTCAATCTTATCTGCAAGGGACAAGGATCTCATCCTTCATGTCTCAATCTCATCAGCAAGGGACAAGGATCTCATCTTTCATGTCTCAATCTTATCAGCAAGGGACAAGGATCTCATCCTACATGTCTCAATATTATCAGGAAGGAACAAGGATCTCATCCTTCATGTCTCAATATTATCAGCAATGGACAAGGGTCTCATCCTTCATGTCTCAATCTTATCAGAAAGGGACAAGGATCTCATCCTTCATGTCTCAATCTTATCAGAAAGGGACAAGGGTCTCATCCTTCATGTCCCAATCTTATCAGCAAGGGACAAGGATCTCATCCTACATGTCTCAATCTTATCAGAAAGGGACAAGGATCTCATCCTTCATGTCTCAATCTTATCAGCAAGCGACAAGGATCTCATCCTACATGTCCCAATCTTATCAGCATGGGACAAGGATCTCATCCTTCATGTCTCAATCTTATCTGCAAGGGACAAGGATCTCATCCTTCATGTCCTCAATTCTTATCAGCAAGTGACAAGGATCCTCATCCTTCAAGTCCCAATTTTATCAGCAAGGGACAAGGATCCCATACTACATGTCTTAATCTCATCAGCAAGGGACAAGGATCTCATCCTTCATGTCTCAATCTCATCAGCAAGGGACAAGGATCTCATCCTTCATGTCTCAATCTTATCAGCAAGGGACAAGGATCTCTTTCTTCATCCTTTATTTTTCTTATTATGTTAAATGTTATTATTAAAGGCACCTTTTAACTTTTCGTTCAATAACTTTTGTTTTGATTTCAATGAATTTGAAATCGAATATCCACTAATTATCTAATAACTGATCATGGACATTTTATTCTGTGTTGCTGTACATAATACACATTCTACTTTACACCTGTTTATGAATTAAGTCATTATGAGTATCTTCCATATTTTTTTCTACATTCTACAATCAAATATGGTTAATCTCTAGAGATGACCTTCCTCATAATATTATCAGCCAGCACTTGCATATATAGCCATGTGAAGTATAACCATGTTTTTTTTACTAAGAAGGAATATTTTCTGTGTTCTACAATAACAGGTGCTAAAGATAGAAAGTGCAATAATGGTAATATTTACGACGAATGCTGCTTGATGTCAATAAATACCATTATAAATGGTGGAAAAGTTGATAGTCATGACTTTCCAGGAATTATTCCACTTATCAAAGAGTATTTACAAACAGTTGAAGTGGACGTTGATACATCATGTACTATTATGCAGTACTTAGAACTGATACAGAAACGGGCATCAGGTGAGCAGTTATCAACAGTACATTGACTACTAAGACTGGGCTGACAGTGTACTGGGAAACTTGATAGGGTCAGTACATTGGTTTGTCATCACTAAGGCTGACAGTGTACTGGGACACTTGATAGGATCAGTACATTGATTTGTCATCACTAAGGCTAACAGTGTACTGGGACACTTGATAGGGTCAGTACATTGGTTTGACATCACTCAGGCTGACAGTGTACTGGGACACTTGATAAGGTCAATACATTGATCTGTCACCACTAAGGCTGACAGTGTACTGGGACACTTGATATGGTCAGTACAATGGTTTGCTTCACTAAAGCTGACAGTGTACTGGGACACTTGATATGGTCAATACATTGATTTGTCATCACTAAGGCTGACAGTGTATTGGGACACTTGATA